AGGTGCCTTACTAGTAGTAACAAGAAGCTATTAGAAACAAGTGCCACTCTAGTAGTCATACCTATAAGCTCACCTCACAGCCTAGTCTAGTCTGGCGCTTCCATCCTGCTGTTGCTCACGACGCGTGTGATCTGTCAGCAGCCGCTCGACTGGATGGCGCTGCCTCTAGTGTAGGTTCTATTTGGCAAAGTTTGCTAATGCACAAATGATGATTTTGCTGTGCCTGTGGTGTCCATTTGGCAAAGCAGTGATGGATCCTCTTAGGTTCTGACGCCTCTCCAGTGCGTTTTGAAGGGCCCACGTCGGCCAACCCCTGGCGGAGCAACGCTTTGAGATCTCTCAAAATGCCTCTATATATTCTTGCTCTGGACAATACGCAATCCCAATGTGCCTGCTTCATCATGCGCTTGTCCGGCATCTCAACACCAACCTATATGCCGTTCACATTCCATTCACACTGCCAACACTGCATTCGGTGTCTGCCTCGAGCTTGTAAGCCATAGCCATGGTTTCAGCCTGCGCCAATCTGTAGTATGAATCGGTATGAAGGTATGCCATGGTTCCTATATACAGTATACATACATCGCTAGTAGGTTGGAGGCCATCGCTAGTAGGTTGGAGGCCATTGCTATTAGGTTGGAGGCCATCGCTATTAGGTTCATATTCCTCAGCCAACCCCACAACCTTCCAAATCGGGCTGAGACCCTTTTTGCGCGCAAAAGCTTGGCAAAGACATTGAGGCCAATGCGACAACACATGTGCACCAAATGCGCTCAAGCACCTTTCACCCTATCTGGGCTGCAATACCAAGGTTGAGCCACTTCGACTTTAGCTTAGCTTTGGCCTCATCTTGAAAGCTCGAACTTTAATTTGATCCAAGACTGAGCTTAGATTCAAAACCATGCTTCCATAGCGATCACAGCATCTTTTGGGCTGCACACATAGGACTACTTCACCATGTTAACACTTTTGAGCAGCTTTGGGTTCGCTACGAAACTTAGCCAGTGCCCTTCAGCAACTGGCATGAAGACAGGCCACCAGATTTCATCGGTGACCCTTGGGCTTGTCTACCCCGGCAAAACAATGCAAAACAATCAGCTGTTGCTCCTAGCCATTCTGCTTTACATGGCTTTCATTATGGCTTTCGCCAAGTCATAACCACTGTTCCGCTGATGATCCCAAGCCTGGCAAAGCAAACGCAAAGCAAAGAAAAAGCTCCTAGTAGCTAGCGTCTTTGTTCCTAATAGTAAGGCCAGGAGTAGCGTCCTTGTTCCTAGTAGCGACGTCCTTTGCTCCTAGTAGCGTCCTTTTTCTGGTGTCTTTTCTTCAACTCCCAGTCATTGCCTTCCAGCTCTCACGAAGTCGACTGTTGGGTGAACCTCAAAATGAGAAAGCCACCAAGGGTGGCACAACACGAACTACGTACTTTCCTTCTTTTTGGCC